TCTGTACAGTGTTTGTGGAAAGTGGTAGATGATAAATGAGTATAATTCCATAAAAAGTGCTACTTTCGTTTGTGTCATAATCTCCCATAAAGCCGTTTGAATATACCTGGAAAACCAACATGAATTTTCAAGAAATTTTTATAGTGGTGTGTAGATAATTGCCGGCTTACCATCGTGATAAATATCGAATTTTTTCAGTTAAAAACGGATAAAAAATAATGAAATTACGACGAAAATCTCGTGAACTGACTCTTTTAACCCACAGTACTCTATCAAATATGTCAACAGCTGACAGTTTTTGAAATTTTATTGACTTTTTTTATGGTTTTTGAAATCTGATCGACGATATTGGCAAACATTAAACTATAATTTTGCCTATTCTTTCGCTTCATCGGACGATGTAGCTGTATGTAATACATTTCATTATTGCTTCAATATTTTTTTTTATTATGTCGTCTGTAGTTTAGAGCAGTTATTTATAGCTCTTGTGAGTTGACAAAACCAATAAAATTTCAAAAAACTTAACCGTTGGCGACAGAATTTCAAAAACCGTCAGAGCTGTCGGCATATTTCATTTTATTTTTCATATTTCTATTCATACTTCTTGTATATATTTTCTTTAATTTAAATTTTCTCTAATTGATTTGGTGATCAAAACACATTTTTCCCTGATTATAATGAGGACATTTAAGAAAGAAATGTTTTGTATCTTCGACTATTTCAGCAGGATGTGATAGCACTAAGCAATTTTCACAAAAAACTTTTAGGAAAAAGTTTGTATTGCTTTTGGTGATGGTTTAGTGCAGAAAAATCAACTCTTCCCTAGTCGAGACTCCCGGCAAAACTTCCATGGGACTCCTATCACGGGATTCTGCAGGAGTCAGGTGGAACTTTCAAGGGATTTCTCAAGACTCCCGTAGGACTCCTGTGGCACTTTCGAGTCCTGCGGGAGTTCTATGAAAGCCCTCAGAACCCTCAAAGTCCCACGGGAGTCGTCAGGCGTCCTAAGAAATTCTTTGAAAGTCCCACCCGCAGGGCCCCGTGATGGAGTCCCGTGGGGTTTTGCCTGGAGTCTCGACTATGGTTAGTCGACAAAATAGCACGTCAGTATACGTTTTCCGATTATGTCATTAAAAATATTCCAGAACATTTTCTTGGACGAATCAATTAACTATTAAATCAATTAACGAAGGTGTCGATCACAGGAGTTCAATTCTGTCATTTTATATGATTGTAATTTCTATAATTATAATTCATAATTTTCACCTTTGAAAGGGCATAGAACCTTTGGAGCTCTTTAAAGAAATTTTACCACTAAATTTTTCTGCTAGGACTAAAATTCAAGGAGAGAAAAAGAGTTTTACTTAAGTAATTAGCGACATCTTTTTGCTGATAGTAGAAAAATAATATTATGATTGAAACCTGAAATTGATACATCTAATAGAATAATTAACATATTGTATATAAAGAAATTACAGTTAGATGACCATCATATTACTGTTTGAATGGTTATATCATTTGCCAATGAAAATTAGAAATAACAAAGGACATCGTTTAGGATAATCGATGGAAGAATAAACAAAACGATTTTTAGATTTCAATATATCATATCTATAATATCTATAATATTTATACAAAGCAAGAAAATAGTAAATAATCAAATAATAATGTTTATTTAATTTATCATATGCCGATGCTTTTCACCACACCATAAATTAATTAAAAGGCAAGTGGGAGTGACAGAATTTATTCAAGTATCTGTATTCTCAAACAATTCAACTACTTGCTGTTTTATAAACAGAATTTCTACTAATGTAACCAAAAAACTCTAATTAAATGTGGGTCACTTTGTTCCAGTTTAAATAATGAGCAAATAGCGAGTAACTGTTAAAATCAAATACTCGATATGGTTTTATTCATTGTAAACGAAAGAAGAAGAAAAAAAAAATGCAATCCACAGAGTAAATGAGCAAAAATGTCAAGAGATGCATGTTCATTCATGCTTGTATTTTAGATAGGTGAAAATGATTAAGAAAAAGGCTACGCTAAATGCGTTAATAGATTAGAGGTGTTCATCAGCTGCACATGTCTACGGATAAACTAAAAATCGAGAGTTGTCCATGACTACAGGCAGTTTTTTTCAAAAAATAAAGTTCGATTATGACGCTTCTCTGCGGTCTTAGACATAAAAACAGGTTGTTTTTTTATTGACTAAATCGCGTACAAAGCCTTTTTTATTTATCCATGAACAGAAAAAAAAGTGTTCATACAGGCTGCTACAATAAAAGCAATCGATCAGTTTATAATCAATCAGATAAGTAAATAACCGGCTATTTATTGTTCAAAATGTATAAGAGGCTGAATGAATTTCTGAAAAGGCTTTATACAAAGATTATTCTTTTATTAAAAAATAATAGCATCATCGTCTCATCAGCAAATTCTATTAAATTTAAGTTGAATTGAATGATCTGTGCCATTATTCTAGATGGGTATTCATCTTTTCTTTATGCTGGCGTTTGTGGTAACGCTGGTATACGGAGCAACCGAGAAGAAATATACCAAAGGAGACAATGTTAGTACATCATTTCTATTTTTATATTACTTCTATATATTTATTCTGTTTATTTTATTATAGGTTACTGTGTTTGTCAACAAAGTTGGTCCATATTCAAATCCTCAAGAAACATATCATTATTATTCACTTCCCGTTTGCAGACCGCCTAAAGTAAATGGAAAATGAAAATTGAAGAAATCTGACATTTTTACCTTTATTTACTTTTAGATTGTATCAAAGGAGTTGACATTAGGGGAAGTACTATCGGGTGATAGAATGGCATACTCATTATATGATATTGCATTTGATGGTGCGTAGAAGAAGTGATGTCTCTTATACAAAGTAGAACATGAGCATGGAATTATCAGAGCTGGGCAAGTCAAGTCCAAGTCAAGTCAGTAGACTTGACTTGATCCAAAATTTTTTGGGCTGTGACTTGACTTCAGAAATTTTTTTCAAGTCAGGTCATTTCTAGTAAGATTCTCATTTAAACGAGAATTTTTCTACCATGAAAGAGAGTTTCAGAGGCTATAAAAACTCTCTCACTCAAAAAGATGCTAGCAAATTTTATGTTCTACCTAATTTTAACTAGACTTGGCTTGACTTGCGAGAAAAAATTTTCCGATCTTGACTGAACTTGTAAATTGCAAAACTCGTGACTTGCCTAGCTCTGGAAATTATGTAGAAGTGTTCTATTTACAGTGAAAAATGTTTAAGAAGATGAAATGTGTATAATGCTTTTGTCTATGTTTAGAAAATATTCCCGATAAAGAATTATGTCAATTATCATTACAAAAGAAAGATGTTCAAGCATTAAAAACTGCTATTGAAGAATTTTATTACTTTGAATTTGTTGTTGGTAGATGAATATACTGCTAAATTAAATATCTCTTTAACTTTATTTTATATTTCTATTATTAGATGACATCCCTTGTCGTGGTTTCGTTGGTCAAGTAGAAGAAACAAGTATTATTCCTCATAATCATAATATTTACGCATTTACACATCTCCATTTCGATTTTCATATTAATAATAATCAGGTATGTAACATTTTCTAATTTTCTTTGTCATGAGTATGATCACTGGATATTTCTACAATTAGAATAAGTATGAAAGTTCCAAAAAACATTTCAACAAATTTCGTTCAGTCCTGATTTACTTCTAATAAGAATTTAACAGAAAAAAAAAAAGCTGTTTTTCTTTTTATAAAACGATGTACAAATGGGCTACCACTTAACACTAGAACCCCCGGAAATTTTCATGACCTAGAACGTTCAAAGCGGTCATTTTGACCGTTACTGGATTTTGTTAAAATTTTATACTTAAAAATGGTTCTGAATTCAAAAATTAATTAAAAATTCTGCAAAAAATAATTTTTGTGGGACAAATTAAAAGTTATGACATAATTTATTTTTAAATAAATTGTATGCAGTTT